GATTGTGGTTTTTTTAATATTTTATTATAAAAAAATATTATTATATAATGATTATTTTTAAAAAAGTCTCATATATTAAAATAATAATTAAATTATATAAAATATTAATTAAAATTAATTTAATTATAATAAATTAATATTTTTATGAGATACTATGTGAAAAGCGTGGTGGAAAAGTAATCCTAAGTGCAACTTAAATTTAAAAGCTTTCAAGATATTTTTAGAAAGTAAAATAATTAGTATTTTAAATTATAAAAATATACAATTAATTTTGAATACCTTAAATAAAAAAGTTATGAGAACCAAAATTCAACAAAAAGAAAAAAGAGTAAAAAGTACAAGAGAGAAGGACAAAATAGTTGCTGCAAATTACGAAGTCATTATGTCTTCATCATTTGCAAATTGCAATACTTTCTACATCAATTAATCTACAAGAGAAGATAAAAAGGCCAATGATCATTGCCGGATTCTTATTTTTAAGTTAATTTTTATATTAAAAATCATAAATTCAAAATTTGAAATAAGCGAAGAAAAGTTTGACAAAGAAAAAAATTATTTTTTATTATATAATTTATCATTTTATATACTAAAAAAATCATTGACCCGTTTTTAATTATATGAGGTCCTTAAAAAACTTAGACTAAAGAAGATAAATGTGGAAGAATCAGTGTCCCAATTTAAGATCTACGTGGTCCTCAAAAACTTCAATTAGTAAAGATAAATAGCGAATTAGTTACCCAGTTTTAGACTACATTCTATACTCCCTCTGATTCAGTTTACTTGTTACTTTCTTATGTTAAAAAATAATTAATATTTTTTTGAATTTTTCTTTAAATTAGAAATTTAGAAACAATATTTGTATTTATTTATAAAAAAAAAACTTATATCAGTTTCAACTCCTAGAAAAAAAATTAGAGTTTCAACTTGTTTTTGTAAATTGAAAACTGAATTTAAAATTTAAAAATTCACCTTATTAAATATTGATAATTAGGTTTAAAAACTAATTATATATTTTAATATAATCAGTTTCTAAACTAAATTATTAACATTTAGTAAGTTGAATTTCTAAAATTTAAATTGACTTTTAATTAATTGAAACAACGTTGTATAACATTGAGACCTTCATTTTTTGGGAGTGGGTATTAATATATACTATTCTCTTATCTATAATATCCTTAAAGAAGAAATAAAAGATGAAGGAGACTTTTTTTGCTTGGATGATTAATTACAGTAAAGGGATAATAATGGGGTTAAAATAAAAAAAAATATTTGTTTACTTTAAAAGTTGAAGACATAATACTCTTTGTGATTAAATTTTGTTGTCTCACTTTTTAAATAAAGATGGTTTGATTTAATTGTTAAATTTTCTATTTTAATAACAAATTAAATGTTAATATTGTAATTTTATCTATATCTTAAAAGAGAAGAAAATGTGTGAGGATTTTTTCATTTAATTATAAATAAGGGTAAAGATAAAAAGATAAATTTTAATTATTGTAATAAATGAATTTCTCAATAATCATAAATAGATAAACTGGAATAACTAAATTTAATTAAAGAAAAAATTTAATTTGAGATAAATACAAAATTAAAAAATAACAATTATTTTGAAATGGGAGAATAAAATGTTGGCTTCATATTATTATCGGAAAAAGTATAAAATTCATAAAGTGACAACATAATCATTATTTATTAAAATTTTATATATAAGTCGCCGGGAAGTTTGGGAATGTATGTTAATAGAGTAAATTTTGTTTGGGTATATTTTTTTCTTTAAACATCTATTTATAGGTTAATTTTTTATAATTAAATAACAAATATTAGTTATGTTATCAACAACTTCCTTCATTCTAAAATAATTATTGTTTTTATAGTTTGAATTTGTTTCAAATTAATTTTTATTTTTTTATTTTTAAAGGTATACAAATACTATTTTTTTTACTTTAACTATAATATTATCTAATTATTTTAATTAATTATCCTATTATAAAAAGTCAATATTTGTCTTTTATCTTTTTTTTTTAAAGATAATATATGTAAATATATAAATTAATTATGGCTAAACCCTTAATTTGGAGAAAAGGAACAATTATTTTAGGGTAGATGGAGTACTCTTTCAAAATAACTATTATTTTTTGAATTTTTCTTCAAATTAATGACTTTGGACAATTTATCTATTTGCTTATATTACCTTTAAGAAAGACTAAAGGATAAAGAGATATTTTTTGTAATAGGATAATTAATTAAAATAAATGAATAATTATAAGGTTAAAATAAAAAAAATATTTATCTACTTTAAAAAATAAAAAATAATTAATTTAAGACAAATATAAATAAAAAATTAATAATTATTTTGAGATAAAAAATATTAATTAATAACTATTTCTAATAGCTGAACTGAAAAGAGGCTAAATCTTTTTTGAATGAGTAATTCAGAAATCTTGATAGAGGCAATTTTTGTTTTAAAAAGGGGATTTTAATATTTTTAAAAAAATTGACCACACAATTGGAAAACATTTTTTTTAGAATTGTTAAATTTTTTTAATAAATCCAAATAAATACTTAATGTACCTTTTAAAATTTTTAATAA